CAAGAACCCGGGAATTCACGTTCAATCGGGCGATCACAAGTTGTCTCCATAAAGACATAGACATATATCTACTTCTAGACTTCTAGAATCAGCATCTCCTCATCCATCAGCTGGGGAATCCGTATATCCGCAGCGGAACGGAATCGGTGGATCAGCGGATACGGCCTTTTCGTAGCTGTTCCAGATGCGGTGGAAATATGGGGTTAGACAAAAAGAAATGACTGGACTGAATCTGGAGTTTAACATTTTTACTTTGTCGTTTTATCAAAATCAACAAACAAAAAACCTAAAATGACCGACATCTGACTGAAACTCAGAGACGTTGTAGTCCTGAGACTACAGCCCGGTCCACCTGTGAGCAGGAGTGTTGTGATCTCTCCAGGTGAACACAGACAGACTGCTGTAGCGGTCACTGTCTGATGTCAGGCTGCCTCTGGCAAAATTCAATATTCAGAGGGTTCAGAGAGCGTCCCTGTCTCTGCACGACGCCTTCAAACCAACAAACTCGTGTGGACAACAGCGGAGAAAGCTGCACAAACACAGACATCTGTGGTTGTTTTGGAGGTTTATTTTATCAGAACAGCTGGAGACAGACAGGAAATGAAAGGACATGGACTAACAAGCTCAGCGTATGTTCTGCTCTTCAATTGTCCCCATCTGTAGTTACGTTCGTGAGCATTCGTCTGGTTTCACTTGAACTTTCCCATCACTGTTTTGTTTTCACTGTTTTCACATTTCTGCACTCCTCTCGTTTAATTTTCTTTCTAACATTTTTGTCTCGAACTTTCAGAATAAAAGACTCTCTTCAGTGAAATTTATGCAGCGAATCTGCAGCAGCGCCGGCGTCTGTGCGGTTTCTGATTTCACAGGCTCAAAGAGAGACTGCAGCAATGACTTCTGGGAAATGATTTGTTCTGATCTGTTCGTCAATGTAGCTGTCATATTTTATTCAATCCATCCCCAGAAGGCTGACGAGCGCGAGCGAGCTCCTGGGTTAATTTTTTATACAGTGTTACTGTACCGTCGGTGTCACAGCAGAGACGGGAGCTGACAGCGATCGGCTGGGGGTTAAATAGTTCCTCCCCTCATCTGTCGCCTCCTCTCAGCCTCACCTCCTCCGGGGAAAACTACCAGGTGCGATTAATCGAGTTTGTCTCCTTCTCTGTCTCTGCTGTCACAGGAATCACGCTCAGAGGGCTGCAGGATTCATCTCTGCGGTGCATAATTCACACACTCGTTTCACACTGAGCCTTTTTTTGACGATAAACGCTGCTCACATTCAGGACCGCGGAGCCAAACACCGACCAAACACAGATCTATTCGAGCTGGACTCTTCTCCGGTTTATGTAACACGGTGAAATCAAACAACAGGTCATCGGTGGATCAGACGCTCGCTGACCGACCCCCCTGTCTGACTCATCCTCCGTCTGATTAATGCAATGATTCACCGTCTGACAGGATGATTAGATCAGCGGCTCAGATCAGGTTCAGGGACCCTCTGAGGACCCTCCAGAGACCTCCTGGTGTTCACAAGCTAAATGAGGGAAAGTTTAATTTCACTATAATTAGATCCACTTCAAATTATCCCATAAACAGAATACATAATCACAGGTGACACATACAGACGAGCAGCAATGAGACGGTCTGATTTTTAACATGTTTGGAGACTGAGAGGTCGTATCACCAGGACAAGACCTTCAATCATCACTGTGGATTTTAAATTCATGACAATATTCATGTCAGTAAGTGATTTTTGAATGTCCATGCGGTGCCTTCCACTGAAGAGTCATTTCTGTTTTACTGTCTAAAGGCCTGAAGATCGCAGCCGTACTTTATCTCCAGATTTCTCCAGACGCTCAATCCTTTAATTATCCGTTTGTGCTCGACATGATGCAGTTTTACTCTCAAAGACATTATTCTGCATTAACTACGTCCTTTAGAGGGGAAAACAAGCCCCTCCTCCAGAGCTTCAGGTAGATTTTATAGTTTTTATCGATCGGACAGAAATGCACTTCTTGAATTAAACACTAGAGGTATCATTTGTTTATCTAAAGGATCTGCAGACACCGAGCTGAATCCACATGAACATGGACGTTTTTAAAGATGCACTGTTTCAGAAACAGATAATGAGCACGGCTGTCATTTCTTACACTGAAGAGGATTATTGTGGACGTACTTAAATTAAATTAAAAACCACTGAGCGATATTTCACAGACTCATCTGTTGGAGCGCCTGAGCCTGCAGAGGTAGACTCAAAATTCGCCCTTTTTATTCTTTACACGATGTAGAACCTCAAACAACACTTTCCTAACGAGTTTACGGTCCCGATCTCTGGGTTCAAGTCCTCGTAATGCGGCGTAATGTTCATTTTTTAAGTCCCTCTGAGGTTTATTGTGTTTCCATGAGCCAAAAGTGCAATCCCATTAAACAGCTTTGATTTAGTGGTCATGTAGACTGAAGACTGATTAGTATGACCGTCGTCCATCAAATAATCATAATAATGATAATAATAATAACACTAACAGGAGAGAGCTGCGGCTCCAGCAGAGCTCCCATCAGTTTATTTGGACATTGGATAATTTTTCTGTGCAAGTGTAATCACTTGAGAAGCTGTTTGGTTGAAGGCCAGCGTGAGTGTCTCGGCGAGCCAAATCAATGAAGCAGCACGCTCCATATCGACTGTAAATGAAGTGGAGTCATTTCTCTGTCATCATACCTGCTCTGGAAAAAAGTCCAAATATCTGCAGCGGAGAGGCTTTTTCCAATCAGCTGCTCTTTTTCCAGCGGGAGATCCATTTGGTCTTATTAGAGCAGATAAAGCACAATACATGTGAGTAATAACATTAATGATGTCCATTTCAGAGTGCAGCCAGCCAGAGGGAGCATTAGCCGCGGCCCCGGCCTGCAGGCTCCGAGAGAAATGAGTCATTATTCGTGTTATTGATTACACCTGTGTTTGTAAAAATGTCAGCTGTGACACGGGTCTGATGTGAGCAGAGCCGGGTCGCAGAGTCAGGGCTCGTTCAGAGCGGACCGCCGCGCTCTGACGTCAGGCTCAGAAGGGGAACTCTGGAAATGATGGTGGGTTTGGGATTAAAACACACTCTCTTGTGTGTGTGTGTGTGTGTGTGTGTGTGTGTGTGTGTGTGTGTGTGTGTGTGTGTGTGTGTGTTTCCTCTGCAGCAGGAGTCTGACGTCACCTCTGGTTCTGAGAGCAGGTAATGAGCAGCTGGCAGGATGGGATCGAGATGACACCATTTAGCCTTGGCAGAGTTTCTGCGGCGATAAAAAGTAATGCCCACACCTATTAAAAAAGACACTGAGTCAACAGTTTGGACGACAGCCTTCCAGGACAAATCACACTCAATCCTGGACACAAATCAAACAGGCTGATGTGTCTCTGTTTCTAAAACTTCATATTTCATAAGGTTGGACTTCACACCTCTGTAAGATGGAATAAAAATGAAATAAATGATCGGAGGTCTCAGCTCAGCCATTTTCATCGGCTAATGCTTACTGAGCAGTAATCCTGCTCCATAAATTAAACAACGCTAAACGACCTAAAAGAGCTTCTCCTCAGTCGACGTTAAAGCTGTCAGACTCCGTCTACCTGCCAACACCTGACAACAAGCCCATCAGCCCCAGACGGCTTGTTAACACTCAGTCTGCTGCTGCTTTCTCATGTCCATGAGGATTTTTTTACACCTCTGGTCTCCTCAAATTGTTCAAATTGTCCAAGTTCTTCTCCGTCAGTGAACTTGTCTGGAGACAAAGTTTTCGTCTCAGGTGAACATTTTCTTTCAGAGAAAGTTTTCCTTAAAAAGAGTCAAACAGGCTGAATAAAAGGGCTGAAAAGAAGCTTTATGACGTGGAGGGGAAACTTTTAGAGCTCCCCCTGCTGGCTGACTGCAGCAAAGGTCACACTGAGGAAACCCAAACGAGAAGAACACAACGAACAACAAGAAACTTTAAAGCGTAACCCCCAACTCCTACCGGATCTGTTGGTGAGGCGAATCTCGTGGCGGATTACGGACAGTGGCAATCGCAAGAACTCACAAGAACCTGTGGACTCATGTGCAATTGCGCGGTAACAAGTTGTCTCTATAAAGAACGCCACAGAGGCTAACCATAAAAGCAGTAGCTAGCTTAGAGAGCTAAGAGCCTCATCACTGTTCTCCTCCTACGATTGTCAGCCGGCAACTAAAAGAGACCTGGCGCTGAATTTAAGTTTTATGATAGTTACAGAGTTTTACTGTAAACTTGTTTTTATTTCTGATCAGAGCCAATCAGGGAGCTTGTGGAGAGGGGCGGTGTCTTAAAGAGACAGTACCAGAAAACTTGGAGCGATATAAAGATGCTCATCAGTCTGGTCTTGTCCTCACAGTCTGAGGTCTGACAGCTCATTATGGAGTTTTATCACTCTGCAGATTCACAGACTGAGGGAGTGATGATTGTTCTCAGTTTATTCTGCTGCCAATAAAATTCAGAGGATTGCTGGTGAGACAGATTACAGCCTGAGGCCTGAAGAGTTTTTCTCCAGCAGAAAAAAAAAACAGAAATCAAGCTTTTTATTCCGTATAATTAAACTCCGGTATCAGAGTTTAGCTCAGAAGAAACCTAAATGATCACCAATGCAGCTGAAAATATGAAAACTCGGGCATCCTAAGAACCAAATTTATTCAGCTCTCTTTAAACGTATATTATTTTGACACTTTGAGGTTTTTGTCGCAGTTAAAAGCTTCTTATCGGGCCTCCTTGTCAGATTTATTTGCTGTTATTATTGAAGAAAAATAAGACGTGTCAGTTTGAAGCTCTGTTGAACGTCCCCGTATAAACACAAGCAGCGGTTTGATTAAATACTCCCCCTGACAAGACTGTACATTAAGTGGTTTAATGTTGAGTTATTTAGATACACGGCTGCAGATAATTTAATTTATAGAAGCTCTGTGAAGCTTACACCTTTGCTTTGTGGCGTGAAGTGCTTTATTTTGGGCAAAACTATGGCGGATCAAGAGAAGCAACTGCGAAGCCGAAGCAACAAGAATGAGAGCGAATGCTGTAGCGGCGGTGCTGCGGTAATGAAAGAGCTGAAGGCGCTGAACGCGAGACTGGACCGCATGCAGATCGACTTGGAAAATCAGGTCAATTCTAGAATTGATAGCATGGAAAAGCAAGTTAACTCCAGAGTGGATAAATTGTGTGGTTCGATGGAGAAACTGATGGCTGAGAATAAGGACGCTGTGCTGAAAGAGATTGAAAAAGCCACAAAAGACATGCGGGCAAATCTGGACACTGAGGTGGGAATTCTGTGTGCAAGAATGGAAAGAATGGAGAAGAAAATATTCGACACAGAGGCTACGAAGAAGAGTTTTGATCCAGAGACCTCCGTGATTGTGGTGGGGCTCCCCGAGTCTGAAGGAGAGGATTTAATGTCAAAAGTGAGGGATTTATTGCATGACGGTCTTGGATGTGATATTGTGGTCTGCCCCGTTGCTGTGGAGCGGATGAGTGCACGAGGAAACCGACCGGGCCTTGTAAAGGTGGAGTTGAGCTCGGTGCAGGTAAAAATTGCCGTGTTGCGCCGAAAATCAAAGCTGAAAGACAACGAGCGTTTCAATAAAGTCTATATGTCATCTGCGAAATCACATGCTGAACGACTGTTGGAACTCAACTTTAGATCTTTGATCCGTGAAACCGCAGTCGGGAAGGACTTCTATCTAACGGGGAATGGACGTTTGTTGAAGCGGACGCAGTCATCCCGGAGTGTGGCTAGAGAAGCTGGCCTTGGCGGTGACTGAGAGTGGCTCGCCCAGCCCGACAGGTGTGTGACTGAACAGTTTTTGTTAGCCCACTGGAATGTTAATGGATGGACGCTATCAAACTCTGAACTTAGAATACTACTACTGAAATCCTTACGCCCCGATTTCATTTCTTTAAACGAAACTCATTTAAGCAGGGATTCAGATTCACTAGACGTCGATGAATTTACCTGGTTTGGACATAATCGTATTGCTCACAAAAGAGCTGTTAAATCCTCCGGTGGAGTTGGGTTCCTGGTTAAAAATGCAGTCTTGGATCGATATTCAGTTAGTATTGTTGATAAAACATTTGATGGGATTTTTTGTTTACGATTTGAGCACCGGGAGTCACAGTATTCTTTTGTTTTGATTTCATGTTACCTGTCTCCAGAATCATCTAATTGGGGCCGTAATGCTGACCTTTATTTCAGCCATTTACTGGCGGTGCTATATACTATTACAGATAAGGTGGATTCAATCTATATCTGTGGTGATTTGAATTGTCGGATTGGGGGGCTTAAGGATTATGCAGAAGGAAATGATATTTTGCCTCGTATGAGTCTGGACACAGGTGTAAATAAACATGGTCATAGCTTCATTGAATTCTTAAAGGACTCTAATTGTTGTATACTTAACGGCAGGTTAAATCCTGAAAATAACAACTTCACGTCAATTTCTGTAAGGGGCAAAGCTGTTGTAGATTATATAGTGACGCCTCATGCTGATATGAAAACATGTATTGAATTTAATGTTTACACCCCCTCTGATCTCATTGATAAAGTCGGTCCAGAAAGTTTAAATTTGATTGGTGACCATAGTAGACTCCCGGATCACTCGGTTCTTTGTCTTCGTTTTCAAGTGGGAGAGGTATTTAATTACCAGAATAATGCAGATCGTTTACAGTATGTAAAAAGGAGAAGCAATAATTATCCTGATAATTTCCTCTCCTCGGAAATATGTCGCAGGGCTATACTAGAGGTAGTAGACCAACTACAGATAGCACAGGAAAATCAAGAAAGGGTGGATCAGTGTTACACCAATCTCTGTAACTTTTTACATGCTGAAATGGAGAAATACTGTCCTGTACAAAAAATGGGTTCTACAAAGAAATATTACAGAGCTAAACAACCATATTGGAATAACGAATTAAACGAGGAGTGGTTAAAGTTACGTTCTGCAGAGAGAACATTCCTTAAATGTAGTAACAGGGATCCCGGGAAGAGGAGGGTCCTGCATAGTGAATTCAAGCAATGCCAAGTTAATTTTGACAGAAAACTCAGGTTTGTTAAGAGGAAGTTTAGAAGAGGTCAAGCTCTTAAGTTAGAACAGCTACAAACCGGTAACCCACAGCAATTTTGGAGAGAAATACATAAGTTAGGTCCAAAAAAGAAATCATTAATACCCTGGGAGGTTTTATTGGAAAATGGTGAATCTTCTTTCGAGTCAGAGCAAATATTGAAAAAATGGGAAAAAGACTTCAGTAACTTGTTCAATCATAGTAGCTCCTCTTCATTTGATGATGATTTTTTAGGGGAAATCTGTAAAATAAAGTTTGAGTTGGAAAGTGGGATGAATACTATTTATCATCAAAATGATATGCTGAACAGTGAAATCACAGTAGATGAGGTACTTAAATCGCTTAATAAAGCTAAAGAAAATAAAGCCATTGGCATTGAAGAGCTCCCTAACGAGGTCCTTAAAAGTCCTAACTTATCTAATGTACTACATTGCCTGTGTTACATATGTTTTCACAATGGTATTATCCCATCAATATGGAATAGATCAATTATCAAACCCATCCCAAAATCTAAGAAAGATGACCCCAGAGTCCCTTTAAATTATAGAGGCATTAGTTTGATTAGTACAGTCTACAAAATATACTCAGGAGTTCTTAATAACAGACTGAATGTTTTTCTGGAGTCTCATGGAGGGTTGGTAGATGAACAGAATGGCTTCAGGAAAAATAGAGCCTGCATTGATCATATTTATGTATTATCTTCTGTGGTGAGAGCTCGTTTGAAGGAGGGTAAAAGTACTTTTGCCTGCTTTGTTGATTTCAAAAAGGCATTTGATTGTGTTAACCGAGATCTCCTATTGTTTAAACTACTTTCTTCAGGAATTAATGGAAAATTTTATCATGCTATAAAAGCTCTCTATAGAGACCCTATTGCTTGTGTACAAATAAATAATCTAAGAACAGACTGGTTCCCAACACCTTTTGGGGTGAAGCAGGGAGACTTACTCTCCCCGTCTCTATTCGCTCTTTATATAAATGACCTAGTTCAAGACATTAAGCGGGTTAATGCTGGTGTTCCTATAGAGGATATTAATTTAAGTATTCTGCTTTATGCAGATGACATTGTTTTGATTGCAGAAAATGAAAGTAATCTGCAAATTATGCTTAATATTATGAGTTCTTGGTGCAATAAATGGCGCCTTGCTATTAATAGTGAAAAAACACAAGTAGTTCATTTTAGGAAGAAAAGTTTATTGCAGAGTAATTTTAAATTTCAGTTTGGCTCGGCATCTTTAGAGTATACTTGCCATTATAAATATCTTGGTTTTGTTTTTGATGAAAATATGAAGTTTTCGGAGGGAAGGAAAATACTGGCAGAGTCCGCAGGAAGAGCGTTAGGCTCAGTGTTAAGTAAAATGAAATCTTGTACGGACCTTGGTTTTTCTACATTTACACAGCTTTATAAATCTTTGGTTGACCCGGTTTTGTTATATGCTGCAGGGATTTGGGGTTTTGAGGAGGTCGCTGATTGTAATTCTGTTCAGAATCGTGCTTTGAGATGTTTTCTTGGTGTCCATAAATATGCAGCAAAGGCAGCAATTGAAGGGGATGTAGGATGGGACCCTTGTATTGTAAATCAACATTGTGAAATGGTGCGACTGTGGAATCGTCTGGTCAGTCTGCCAGAGGAAAGGCTAACTAGAAAAATTTTTAACTGGGACAGAGCAAATCATCATCCCTGGTCTAGTGAGATTTCAATGATCCTGTTTGCCTCTGACATGCATGTAATGTTTAGAAATAATCTGCAATGTAATATAAATTCTGTTAAACAAAATATGTTTGAGAAGCACGAAGACCAATGGAAACAGGATATATGGAAGAAACCAAAGCTCAGAAATTATGTTCAGTTCAAGAAGAATTATTTTACAGAACCTTATATTTTCCTTAATTTAAAGAGAAGACAGAGATCTCTCTGTGCTCAGTTGAGAACAGGTACCTTACCTCTGGCAGTAGAAGTGGGACGATTTAAAGGCTTACCGAAAGAAGCACGTTTGTGTGAATTCTGTGATTTACAGGTGGTTGAGGATGAATTTCATTTTATTTTCAATTGTCCCTTATATGTTGACTTAAGGACTGTCATTTTTGAATCAATTCAGTTTAAAAATCCTGATTTATTTTGGAAGAGTGAAGGTGAGATTTTGGGTTGGTTGTTTGAAAAAGATGTTTTTGTTTTGGCAAAATTTGTTAAAAAGGCTTGGCATATGCGGCAAAGTATTTTGTACCCTGTAGGATGAACTTTTTTTGTTTCTCTTTCATTATCCTCACTGTTTGTGTTATAATTCTTAATGGATTTTTGATGTTATTGTTGTTGTATATTATGTTGCGTGGCTGTCTTGGATACATTGTGTTTTGAGTTTGTTGAACAGTGTCTAATAAGCCCATGGGGCTGGGCACCAATTTTGGTGTATGACACTTAAATAAAATTATCATATCATATCATATCATATCATATAGAAGCAAATGTTGTCTCTCTCACACACACACACACACACACACACACACACACACACACACACACACACACACACTCACGGCTCCGTCTGCGGGATGAATCTGGCGACACAGTTAATGTCTCAGCTGTATGTGGCCATAAAATTGGATGAGTCTTTACGGCTGTGTCATCCTATCACATAATAGTCCTTCAAGCTTCATTTTTCTCCTCCGAGCCGAACCACAGCTCTTTCAATTTAGCCGATTCAGTCGTTTCAATTCCCCGTGCGGGATGATAGGACGGCGAGAGAGAGAGGGAGCGACCTCCGCCCCTCAGCTCTCTGTGCTTATAACGTCTGTGTTTATCCTCTGCAGGTTCATTTATCACCAAACAGAGCACAAAACCTCCGATAACACAAAACTATGATTTCTGCTATATGAACAGCTGGTAGAGATGGAAATAAACAGTGATTCTATCTTCTCAGATTCAGGACTCGTAGAGCTCCCCGTGAACAGACTATCAGCTGAGCAGAGTCCTCACCTCTATCAGCGTTTCTGTACTGAAGTTAAATTACAACTTACAGGCGGAGAAAGGTGTCCAAAGGTGATTCGGTCCGCACTGATGCATGGAAATTACAGTCTGTAGAGCAAACATTCATGCAAAGCGGACCTGCAGGTGTGCCTTTATCCTCCTAAATCAACTCCAAGAATTACAGAGTTTTATTTCTAACTAATTACTTCATATACTTTGACTTTTTGTTCTCACTGCAAAGGAACTGCTCTAGGATGTAAGTGAGCTGAGACCTTCTCTTCCAGGTGGACAGTCCGACCGCTGTGTTTCATATTATAATATATAATATATATTATTATAATATATAATCAAAGTTGGGGGAGATATGTCTGAGAGGTCAATGTCACCACCCCGTCAAAAACATCCTTCAGTTTATCAGTTCATTTGCTTCCTCTCCAGTTGCTGTTGAATTAGTTCATCTACTTTGGAAGTTTCTGTGCTTCTCCGTTTTTCATCCCCCTGGTGCCGTGGTTGTGAGTGTCGGCCAGGTACACGCCCTTATTTTACGCTTTTACACCACTGTTTTTTTTAAAAGTTTGGACTGGTTTTATCACAAAATATATTCTAAAAAAAAATTGAATGTTTACTTTAATACAGCGGGTTCTGGCCTTGCGTTGAGTCTGATGGCCTTAAAGGCATGGTTGACGATTGGTGAAGCAGTTTAAAAAATTAAGCTGTTGAGGCAGATTTGAAAAAAGCGTCCCCATCTCCACACAAAAATCTCTGCCCTCTGTGCTCCACGATAACTCCCCCCAAACCTGTATCGCCCTGTAAGTGGTATTTTTTTTGCGTCCTTCTCCATCACAGCTCCTGTAGCTAAGCTGCTACGCTCCTTTTAGCCGCTCAGAGCTCCGAGGAGGGCCAGGAGAGTGGGAGGGGATGAGTCAGAACTATGGGAGAGGGGTGTGTCGAATACAGCGAGGTGATTGGATGGAGAGGCAGAGGAGGAGATTGACCAATGGGAGCTGTCCGGGACGGATGGCTCCCATTGGTCAATGTTTTCGCTGCCCTGCACCTGCTACGGTGAACGGATTTTTACCATTCTTTTTTCTCTTCACTTTGTTGAGATCGCACTATAGGACCATGATCGTCATAGAAACAAGGTTCATAATAATTACCAATCTCTCTAATCGTCAACCATGCCTTTATGGCTACAAAAAAAAGAAAGTGATTTTTTTTGTGCTTCTGTATTTCTTTTAAAATCCCAACAATTGTTGAAATAAATGGAGCATTTTTGTTTCCTCTGCTCATGAGAGACGGGAGATTAAGGAGGAGGAGGAGGAATCAGAGCGGAGCTGGGAGATGGACTGTGTTTGATTTCATGACTCACTTTCTGAATAAATGTAACAGCCTCTGCAGCGGGCCGAGTTAGACAACAGCACAGTTAAGAGAGAGCTGTAAGAGGTGCTGAGTGCCTGCAGATCCACTCAGGTAAACACCAACCAGCTGCCACTCAGGATGATCTACAGGCTGATCCACAGGTAGCAGCAGGACGGAGACAATTGGAGAGTTTAAAGACGAAGCAGAGGTGCACAAAAACGGACTTCTTGAGCTTCGGGGTGATCTCTATTCTCGATGCAGAATCTGCAGCACAAGACAAGACTGAAGAGATGTATTTCACACATTGAACCGCCAAGAGGCAGTCAAACGGTGCCAGACTTCAGTTCAGACCAGTCGCCGGGGCTTACACACCTGAGAAACAGACTGGTCCACATCTGCACATGTCCCCTCTTTATAGAAGTCCTGACTGTAATCCTCTGACTGCTCATTTCAGAAAAACTCAAACCCTCTCAGCTCTCTTTCTAACACCAGATCAGGGACAGTCTGTCTGGTTTTCTCGCCTCCAGCCTCCCAGACGTGACACTATCCTCAGCAGGAAGTCTCCCCCGTTTTGGCTCGGTTTAAACTTCATCCTACCGTGGCCTTATGGAGAGCGAAGTGCAATAATCCGCCGCACAGACGGAAGGCAAAGGGATTGAGCTCTTCGAACCTGGGGTATTTTTTACAGCGCAGACGTTCGACAAAGGCCCGGTGCTGGCAGTGAGGAACCAGAGGATAATTTGCCATTAACAGCTTGATCTCATGCACCAGCTGGTCTGGAGGAGCACCAAATCGCCACCGTCTCGTCCTGATTCTCTGGACGAAGTGTTGAGAGGATTTCCGCCAAACGGCGCTCGATCGGGCATTGTGCCGCTCCGATTGTTCCAGACACACACAGAATAAAGACGACAGACTAAATAATGACAGTTTGTGTTGTTGATAGGAGCTTACAGCCTTTTAGTATCTCCCCTCATCAGCGGAATCAGGACTAAACTCAGCTCAGATCTGCTGTTCCTGCTTTCAAATGTGAATGCAAACGACAGTGTGAAGATGGAAACTGTATTTCCGCCGCAGTTAGCGAATGTTTTTTGGGTTTTTGGCCAGAATTTCAGACAGGACAACGCCTACTGGTCCAAGTGTGAGATGCTGTTTCCCCTCAAAATGCAAATGAAAAAGTCGGACCATCTCATGTTTGAGGTCTAGACTTTAACGGTCTGTAGCCTCACAGTGAAAACAGCAGGACCTGAAAGAGCAAATGTGAGCGTACTTCTGTACGAGACAGTAAAACGGTGACTCTTTGTCATAGTCTCATTTACCTGACCCAATCTGGTCAACCGAACAAAGACCCGTCTTCATTTGTGGGAGGCTAAAGATTGGCCTTTTTGAGTGAGTGTGTATGTGGTCTCTTGTGGACATTCTGGGTACTGCATGTTTGCTGGTTTTCTTTCTGCTCCACCAGGTGTGACGCGTTTCTTCTTTTGTAATTGCATAGACAGAAACTAAACTTGGGATTTCCCTCAGACCTCATGTCTGGTCTGCCAGGCAGGTGAGAGTAGGAAAACAAAAAGCCGAGAGTCTGAAAGGCGTTGTGCAGATTGAGATTGACCCTCATTTCTGCTTCCTGTCACATCAACCACAGCCTGAACCAGCTCTAGTTACTGGTCCTCATCCAGCTGTGATCAAATAACTGGAAGTTAGCGGCTCTCATCAATCCACAGCTAATGGGCCGGGGAAAGTGCAGCAGGGACTGTTATCACACAGGAGATGGAACTTGAGGATTTCTGGGCTCAAACCCAGACATGGAGGGCTATTTGGCTTCAATTTACATCACCATGTGCCCCCATTCAACTGATGGACAGTGAGAGCATCATTTTTCAGCACAACAGGCTCAGAAACAGCTGAAAAAGTAGCTGAATTATCCCCCTGTGAGTCCGAATAAACCAGGATCTGTGTCTGTCATAAAACTTTCCACTTCTAACTTTGGAGGGGCTCGGCTCGAAGCCCGGGAGTGACTAACGCTCACTTCTAATGCATTCCAGGCCCGATTTCAACCGCAGATTAGTCACCTCTGTGCCGAGCCACAAATTCAATTTTGGAAATGAACCCAGAGCTTCATAGCGCAGAGTAAGAGAGAGTTAAAATAAGGACACCAGAGGGAGAGAAGATAAAAGAGCAGCAGGTAACACATGGGTTAGAAAAACTGGAGACAAGAAGGGAATTTAATCCTGGGGAGGAGCACAGATAACTTTCACCAGAGCGTGAGAAGAGACAGCTAATTTAACACCTTCAGTTTACACAAGGAACTTTATTCAGAACTAGTGTTTTCGACAGAAACTGGAATACCTGCATGTTCAATTTCCTCCAAACTATCAGCATTAACTGGACCAGACAAACAGAACTCTAAAAGCAGGTTTTTGTGGTTTATCTGGACTTTCCCCCTCAAGGTCATTAGCTAACTGACACAGAGTAGTCATGTTATTTACTGTGCTAGAACGAATGTTTTCTGATTGAAAAGCAGCAACGTCCAAAGAGGGTCCAAAAGCTGCAGTACGGGGAGAGTCCACTAGAGGCAGTGCCAAGGAGAGAGACAATCCCCATAGAGCTCCATGTTAAATAGTTCAACTTCACAGATCCGAGGTTAATGGGATATTCAGGCGTAAAATTAATTTAGGGTCAAACACACCGTAACACTGAGTTAGACCCCCCCTCCAGAGATGAATGTTGCCGACCGTTTACTTCTCTAGTTATACCAACTTTAGTAACGACCGCAGGATAGCAATACACAGTGGTCTGAGGAGCCATAGACAAACCTCAACCAAAAAACAGAACAGCACCTAACTTCATCAACAGGACATATAGGGTCCTCGCCATAGTACTGGCCACCAAACATATTTTTAGCTTTGCCAAATTTTATCAGCAAAGAGATTAAACACAACTCACCTACTCTCTTCCAGCAGCCTCTTGTTTGTAGCGAGACCCCGGGCCAGTCCATTACAAACTACAGCGGGGTGCCGCAGCTCAAGGAAGAACATTTATGATAATTTCTTCATGGAAATACAATCAGACCGAGACGCTAAGACAGAAGAACTACTGCGTCTGTAAAATGATTAATATGATGATTATTATTTTCAGGAAATGATAAAGAAGTGATCATAAATGTTCTTCCTTGAGCTGTGTCACCCCACTGTAGTCTGTAATGGACTGGCCCGGGGTCTCGCTACATACAAGAGGCTGCAGGAAGAGAGTAGGTGAGTTGTGTTTAGTCTCTTTGCTAAAGAAATGAGTCAAAGTTAAAAAGATGTTTGGTGGCCAGTGCTATGGCTGTGACCCTATATGTCCTGTTGATGAAGTTAGGTGCTGTTCTGAGCATTATTTGTGGCTATAGAGTGGCGTTTTGGTTGAGCGTCATTACTTAAGTTTTTATAATAGTTGGCAGTAACTCGGTGTTACAGTGTGTTTGACCCAAACTTAATTTTACACCGGAATATCCCTTTAAATAACTTGTTTCCATGCACTGTCCAAGTGAGCTGTTTTGGCTTGATTAGGAGGTTTTGATTGGAGGACTGCCTGATACCTAATCAACCAACATAACAGTGACGACTTTAGAGTTTCTGTACCTGTTCGTCTGAAGGGCTTCCTGTGACGTTACTAAAACACATCCATCCTGGACAAGGACAAGTGGGAGTGAGTAAAAGTGAAGGTCATGTCTGTCTCCATTTCTAAGGAGTCATGAATGAGCTCTGATACCTTCAGAGTCTTCTCTGTGTCTGTGGTTTAATTAGCCGATTTATCAGTGATTTTTTTTCCACCTGCAGTCTCAGTTCTCGTGAATCTCCATGGCAGCATTAATTAACAAAGTGCGTGCGTGTGTGTGACCCCTTTTGTAGTGAACGCTAACACGGCGTGCTCTGCCCAAATCCCTCACAGTGACAGAGGTCAACAGCTGGAACACGATAAAACACGACCTCCTCTCCTCCGCCCCTCCTCCCATCTCCTCTTATCTGCTAATGAAGCCTTCAAGAGGACCGGCAGAGAGACTTCATTAACACAATTATGCTAAAAATACAAACTGGTGGCTGTTTGTGGGCAGCAGCAGCAGAGCAGAGGGCAGGCCAGACGCAGAGCGGCGGGGAACATATGGTGGACGTATAGATACGACGAGCGAGCTGCCAACAGCTGTAATAAAGAGAGGAGATGAGGCTCCTAATACAGAGAGAGAAAACATTGCAGAGTGTACACAGCATAGTTAGAGATAGTGACCCAACGGAGAAATTACACGATTCATCAATAGAGCGCCAGAGCTCTTAGCTTCTCTGTAAACATGATGTCCTCTGAAAAATGACGAAGAAGAGGGAGTTCAGCAGAAAAACAGTCCACTTCAAAATCCATTTCGACCAACTGACCTGAGGAGGAAAAGACGGATTCAGAGACGCACACGAGCATGACCCTGAAGAGGGTAAGTACAGCAGCTTTTTTCCTCCTGTCATGTCATTAAGACCTCCGAGGTTTTTCAAGATCCTGTGAGTTTTCAGTCCTTCTGGAAACGTTCATCATGCTCTTCAAATGATGTTTTTATCTGTAGGAGAAATCGGACGCATCTGATGGAAAATACTGAGGCCAAATGTTTTCTCCTGGATCAACAAAGAGCAGGATACAGTGCTGTTTGTGTCTGACCTTTGACCTCTGCATGGACCTGCAGAGTGAGACTTTAAAGGCGACTGCAAACACGTCACTGATTCAATAAACCACCGCAGGGAAACGACGTTTACAGCGATGTCGGGTCAGGACCTGCAGTAAACACTCAAATAGACCTGGAGCTTTGTAAACACACACACACACACACACACACACACACACACACACACACACACACACACACACACACACACACACACACACACACACACACACACACACAGTGCGCCTTTGCTCTGATCTTAAACATGACCTCAAATAAAACACCAGGAAACATGTTTACTGTCTTTGTGCCAGCCTGACAGGAACACAGCCTTCACCGACTTTATTAAGAGAGCGGTCGATCAGAGGAACTCGGACTTGAACAAACAAGACTCTTTCTGTCAAAGAGTCAAAGAGTAAAACCAAAACCCCGCCAGGTGATCCGGATCAGTAGAAAGAGTCCAGATGTCTACCTGAGGAAGAAGACGAGGATCCTGCTGTAACATGCGTGGTAAGAGGGATCACAGACAACTTGAGCCTGATAAACAGCGTCTCTAGATTTCTTTGTCTGTTTGGAAATATGTTTGGATTAAAATCCTGTGCTGGACTGTGGCGACCTTCTCCATTGCAGGGTTTCAGGGCATAAGTGATGCGATCCTGCCCCAAGTGGAGGAGTTCCACAGATGGATTGGTGATGTGAATGCTGCACAGGTCTGTTGTGGTGAAGAGGGAGAGGCAAAGCTCTCGATATACCGGTGGATCTTCATTCCTACCCTCACATGTGGTCACGAGCCGAGGGTACTGACCGAAAGAACAAGATCTCAGGTACAAGCGTCTAAGATAAGTTTCCTCCGCTGGGCGGCTGAACTCTCCCTTACCCCCAATTTCCACTGCATCCGGAACAGCTACGAAAGGCCGATCGCAGCGAAATCCCGCGTTAAAGAGAGGGTGCGAAGCTCAACGTTATCCTAAGCTGGTGAGGTGTTCAGCAGGAGACCATGGGGAAGACCCAGAACATGCTGGAGACACCTTGTCCCTCTGCTGGCCTGGGATCACCTCACCTGGGGAGAGGGAAGTCTGGGCTTCCCTGCTGATGGTGCTGATTGATGGATGGTTTTGTTGATGTTTGTTGTTGAGGTCCAGACTGGTGTTAAGATAAGAGTGGATGTAGATGCGCAGCTGTAAACATGCAGATGTAAATCTGACGCTGTGAATGTTTCTTGGCTGCAGCTATTAACAGTTACTCGCCTCATTAGCTTTCATTGGAGGCTCTCAGATTGGATTACCTCCTGAATGCATCAGCTCCTTAATACACTCTCTCAGACTGTTTTTGTGCTCGGGCACTTTGATGGACAGCCGTGTGTTTTTTAAAAGACCTCGGCGATGCCGCGGCGCTAATGGAGCAGCTGTTTGTGAACCAATCTGACTAATGCAGGAGAAACAAAGACTGCACAGCCGCGCAGTGGGTGAAAAACAGACACGATAAGAGCATCAAACCCTCCACAGAGTCAGAGTACAGACAAAAAGGCTTTTTACTCCAGACAGGAATACCTGAAAAGGCCCGCTTCCTCTCAGCCTGTGTTTAATTTCACTTCTCCTCCACTTCCTGTCATTGTGGCTTCCTCTGCCCGAGGTGCGTCCTCCTCTTCTTATCATGCAAACATTAGTTCTGTCCATAAATCTGCGGCTGTATTTCCATGTGGAACCAATGCTACAAGATTAAACCGGTCACACAACTTTTATCTGCCGTGTGTAATGACCGTCACCTCTGCTCCTCCTGCTGCTTTTAATAGAAAGACCATCTTCAAAGAGAAACCGCCATGGCGGCGGCGGACGCGGGACGGGGGGAATCTGCAGCTGGCCGAAGGGAGTCCGCACCTGCTCCTGCTCCAGATTCAAATATACATGAACATCGGAGAACAAAAAAGCTTTTCTTTGGCTTCTTCGAACATCAAAGTGGAGAGAGAAAATGAAATCTGGACACAGGAGTCCGATTCAGAGTCCGCATTCGAGCGCTGGTCCCAGGTCAGCCTGCTCCACTAATTACTTCATTACCTTCAGCTGCAGAGAGCCGGCGGTTCAAAGCAGGACGGAGTTTATCTGGAGAGGAATTTGGAGGAGATTGAGAATGAAATTGTTCTATTGTTCTCTTTACTGCAGCTTCCTTAAACTCTCAGAGCAGAGAGAGTTTTACAGGAAAACGACTCTTTCCACTTGGTAGGTTAAAAAGGTTAAGAATAAAGACGGACTTTGACGTGAGTTTACAGGAAGTCCTGACAGGTAAGTCACTCAGGAGGGCCGAGAGAGAAAAATCAAACCTGTCAGATTCTGTCAGGAGGTCGTGAGGCGTCAAATAGTCCTCGATGACACTCTGAATGAGACGAAACGATTGGTTCTCGAGGCTGATGGGTGCCAACTCCCGGTGACTGTCAGATCGGGCTATAACCACGCTAAAGCAGTGTGACCTGACCTCGGTGTAATCCTGAACCCACCGCTCAATGGAGGAAAACTACATCAGTCACCTGTATCTGTGATCCGACTCAAATCTTTATATTTTCATGTAAAATTTCAGAAATCATCAAATAACTTCAGATCCAAAACTTCCAGGTTGATTTTCATTTGTACTCAGGATGTCAAGATTCACAGATTCATATTGGTGGTCCGATACAAACGTTTGCGATGCGACTGCACAGGTAGATTCAAGGAGCGTCGGATATCATTTACGGGTGAATCTGCGGTGCATCTCTTCTAGCCTGTCTGTGCCAGTAAATACCATTGTTAAATCGATTATTTCATGTTCTAGTATCTATTCCCTGTCCTATCCTCTTTTCCGAGGCAACCTGAATGGACCATCGCGTCCTCAGGCACTGACGCAAGCAGGTGTTATGGAGACAAACGAGAAAGACGGTGGCAGCAACTAGATATTTAATGCACCAAAAAAAGACACACAAATCAAACGTGTGGCAATATTTGGGGTTTTTCAAGCGAGGAGGTCAACTTGACAAGACGCACGCAATTTGCAAACAATGCCGTGTGGCTATCAAGTACGTCAGCAGCACAACGAACCTGGTGACGCACATAAAAAGACGACAAAGCGTGGAAACCTCTGTGGCTGGCAGTAGAATGTGTTGCTGGTCATATTATTTGCACTATGCACATTGTTAATACTGCGCTTTCTGAAACTGTTTTATAAATTTTGTATAATCATAGAGACAGAGAACATAATTAGGAGTAAGGAGTTCTTATTATAGATATAATTGAATGCTCTGTCTGTACACTGAATCACGTCTTTTTTAAAATATGATTTATTGGTTTGCTCCATAAAAAAACTATCAAATATCCCTCAAATTGATACAGATAGTAAAGCAGAATTGTGCTGTTCAGGTAAGGAACCTTACATGGGCAAATACTCTCTCTCTTGTACCGCAACTAACTGTATCGAATGATCACATGATATCAAACCGAATCCTTTTAAATGTTCCGTATCGGTGGCAGCGTATCGAGATGTGTATCGAATGTTGTCTGATTTCCTTTTTTGTATGTTTTTGTTTACTGTACCTGACCTTAGCTTTGACACCTGTTAGTTTGACGCATGTCATCATGAACGCTCTTTACATGTCAGAAAACGCCTTTGTAACTCTAATTGATGAATTTGGCGCTTGTGTGGGTTTGTTATTCAGCTTAGAGATGAAGATCCAAACTCCAACTGCAGGAAATGCTCCTAATAATCAGAGTAGCACATACAGTCTATTAGATTTACACTCAGGGCAGAGAAAGCTCCTCACTGGAGCTAATAAATAAAATCCAATCAACCTTTAAAAACCGAGCCCGGGGCTCAGGAGCTGCTTTAAATAATGCTTCAGCGTCGAGGGTGATTGATGGCCGTGTTAGGCTAACGGATTTATTAAATCTATAACTGAGTTAATGTTGCGTCCATAATGAGCTTTTGCTGCTTTTAAAAAAATAACATCACTAGGTGGAGGGGGAGGGGCTTCACCTCTTCACACTGTCTTCATCTTCTTCTTCTGACCTTCTGCAGCAGCTCGACCTCAGGCTCATCTTTTCAGTTAACCTTTATTAGCTGCAGCTCAGTGACGCCCACACGTGTGTGTGTGTGTGTCACACGTTCTGCTGCTCAGCAGAATTACAATCTACTCGGTTCAAGCTGCTGCAGACTGAAAGGGAAGAACATCATGAAGGAAATATCTAATTCAGACTCATTTCTGCTGCTGCTGCTCCGACTTCTTCACCTCCTACACCACGTGTTACAGCAGCAGCAGCAGACGCAGGCCTCTGCAGCTGCTGGAAACATGTTTGATTCTGCTTATCAGCTCTGAAAAACGTGTCACCATGACGAACGAGCGGCACTCGACAGTGGGACTCAACATGCCTGATTTCATGTTGTTAAATCACAGACTGAGAGTCCCCTGTGATTCACCCGGATATCAGAAAACTGGTTTATAACTGTGATGAAACAGTCGGTAAGTGTGGCAGGCGCTCTGTTTTCATAAAAAGTCACATCAAATCTCTCAGTGAGCTTTTTTTCTCCACCAGAAGGATGTTGAAAAAGTTTTATATTAACTATTTCAAGACTTTAAAACCTCAAATGGACTCTGCTCTGTAAATGTACATTGGAGTATTTAGTAAACGCCTGAAATTCTGCTGCCTTGAATAAAAAAGAGCAAGCACGGAAAATGGAGTTACATTAAAGTGGATTTCCCATCAGCCTCAGCCACCGGGGTCTCTTCAAGCCATTTTTTTTCCACCAGATTTTGATCAACCACGTCAGCATTAAAGGCTCAATCTGCTTTCATAGAGCTGCTCAAAGAACAGACTTCATTTCTGCTCCCAAGGGGGAAGTTAAAGTCACTCTCTGAACCTTCTTGTTAACATCACACAGTCCATTAACACCGTTTTATATGAAAAGTAAAATAAGAAGAAATCATGTGGAAGCATAAAGACCAGGTTTCAAAGACGGCTACATTCACCCTTCTCATCACCTTCCCACTAAAATAAGAGCAAACAGTGTAAGTAGGGTAGTCAGGATCTGATCTGAAGTTCCAGTTTTTAGGAGAAATCTTGAATGTAAACTCTACCCCTCCCAACCAGTTTTCCCCTCAGCTCCTCCTCTCCCCTCAAGCCCCGCCCACAAACAGACGCTCCTGCTCGCTCGTATCATTCCAATTAAATTCAGATATAATGCAGATAAATACTTCAGATCATTACAAATGGGGCCCAGTCAAGGTGAAAGTCAAAAGCATTGGTGCTACTGTAGATGCCAACAGACTACCAGCAAACACAATGTTTGCAGGACTTCTACAACTAGGATAAAGTGACATAGTCCAGGACCCGAGGGAGGACAGTTTAGCGATGGCGCTACAACACGCTACAGCAAGGTCCGTTTGACAAGAAACACTTCTGTTACAGACACTTGTCTTACTTTGTTAAAGCGGTTTACCTGTCCAGCAGAAAGGTTACGGGGTCACCAAGATCCCCAAGCGTCCCCCATCGTTTATGTTGACCCGGCTTTTTAGCTCTTGTCCGGTCTACCTCCGTTTTAAGCGCCCGTTATTCTGCCAGAGTCTCCGGTATTTACTTTATTTTCTTGCTTTTGCGACAATTTTCTGTACTTTCTGGTTGGTTTCTACTGTCCGATATTGTGGCACGCTAACTTTGTTTGGACTCGTGAACGTTATTTAAGGATGTAGAGCGTGCCTCACAACCACCTCACAACCAATCAGGTTGGGGGAGGCGGAGAGTGGCTTTTGTTTGAGCCAATTTGTATGGTAGTGCCGTATTCCATATTTGTGTATTTAAATTTCTCATCTAGTATATGGATCTTCATGCAATTTCGATGTTTCCCAGCAGGCGGCTCCACCTGCATGTGAGGAGGAAGTGTATCCTTGTCTCTTTAACCTATATAGCGCTGATTAGAGGCAGGTGTGTGTGTGTTTGTGACCATCAATTTAGGTTTTTTTGCACTTGGCAAGGACGAATCTGTATCTTTCAATGCAATTGTGAATTTTTGAACCAATTTTTTATTGACAAGTGACCCGTGATCGCGTCACGATATTACCAATTGTCAACAATAACTAATAACTACTGACTGATATTAAAACTTTTTTGTATATACACCACATAAGACTGCTTTTTTAACTGAATCCTGCCTTCCCCACCTTTAATGAACAAAACCAAACTTACCTCACAAATACAGGTGATTAAACACAGGTGAGACAAAGGAGGGTGGAGCTAAACCCCGGCCAGACGACGATGAAGCGTCCTGATGTTTCCTGAAGCCGTTTTCATTGACATTATATTTGAACATAACTCTTTTCAGGAACACCATAAGAGCTAAAAGACAAAAACATTAATATAATAACAAAAAAAACCCTTCAGCTGTATAAAAACTCACATCGTATCACGACAAAAACGTAAACGAGCGCAGCCGTTAGCATGCGCGCGACGGCTAACCATGAGAAACTAGCAAGACAAACTTATTTGAGAGGAGTTCGTTCAAAAAGTACCTCTAAAATCACAATATTTCTGTAAACACGTTTATAAAAACACAAATATAAAAGTTTTTAAACCAAATACCTCGTTCTCATTCCAGCCAGGCGCTTAAATGAACGAGAAACACGAGAAAACACCGTTTGTGCTTCGTTTCTCGGCATCTGTCAAGTTACCGTCTATGTTGGGTAGGCACTACGTACTAAACGGGAAGTACTTCAAAATAAAAGCATAAAAATGGTAAAGTCCGCAATAATATAAACAAAACTTACAGGAAGTGATCCCTTGCAATAATAGACCTTCATAGGAGTCAAACTGAAAAAAAAAACAGCAAACAAGATGAAACCATGAGAGATCTGAGGCTGTGTCTCATTTCAGCTCTTCACACCCTGACCACACTCCCAGGTGTGGTCAGGGCTGCACAGTTGATGAGTTCGTCACCACATGTCTGCACCCACATCACAGGCTGAGAGTTATCTGTGAACTCTTGGCTCTACTTCGCTGATATCCAGAGCCCCAACTGTGCAGCCTTGACTGCAGTTTGCAGGTATTTAGAGTATCTCATTCATGGACTTTATCTATTCAGCCGGCCTCTTCCTGAGTCTGAAAGGAGCAAAGCTGAGTGAAACAACTTTGACATCCAGGGTCGAAACTAAACGTCCAGAAAGCTTCTTCAGCGTCTGCCGCAGAGTGTTGGGCGTGTGAGGGTTTCAGGTGAAAAATGACAAGTTTGGGATTAGAAATGTGAGTGATATTTATACAGGAGCACTGTTCAAATCCACATCTCACGTCTTCAACCAGAACACATGGCTCATATTAGGGTGTAGATGTCTACCACGCTGCGCCACCAGAGACCATCCACAGTTGGGGATGAGCTCTGCGTGCTTTTATCTTGGTACTTTTGCTCCTGGACTTTAAAATTCATCCTGAATAAGGTTTGAACCCATGACCTCAGGAGTCCCAGTCAATGTTCTTATCCTGTGAGCCATGTGGACACACAAGCCATATGGCCTACTATAAGGATATAGAGGTATAAGTTTGTCCACAAGGGGGTGCCAAACTCCAGACAGAGGCTTTAAATAAATTATTGCTAACTCAATTCTGGAGCAAAATCCCTTTATCCCTTTAGTACATTCATAGTACTTCTCAGTTAATAATAATAATATTAATAATAATAATAATAATAATAATAATGAAGAAACCAAAAGCACAAATAATCAAAAAGATTAGGGAGTTAACATCAGCAGCTTTTTTCTTAAAATAAAAACCTTATTCAGGATGAATTTTAAAGTCCAGGAGCAAAAGTACCAAGATAAAAGCACGCAGAGCTCATCCCCAACTGTGGATGGTCTCTGGTGGCGCAGCGTGGTAGACATCTACACCCTAATATGAGCCATGTGTTCTGGTTGAAGACCGGCTCCTGGTTCGAAACCCGCTCAGCCCAGGGGTGTGGGGTTACACCCCCGGTGTTTCCAGAGAGATAAAATAGGGGGGTTATGCTACAGGAAGTTAGGGCAGGCTGATCTTTAGAGTAAGGATGGGGAGAAGGTTGATGGGGGGATTATAGGGGGCGGCGGATGGCCGCAGGCTGAGCAGCGGACTACATCCTCTGCTCAGCCTGCGGCCATCCGCCGCCCCCCCTATAATCCCCAATAAGGTTAGAACCCACTGACCCATGTGTACACACGCGACAATCATGTTTTTTTTCATATATCACTGTACTTTGTGACCGCGGTCCACTTCCGGACCGGGAAAGAGTCCAATACGGTCCCGAGCGTACAGCAAAAGATGTACGTTTTTTTTTCTCTCTTGCTTTGTGCCTGGTTCAGTAAACTGCACATGGAATTTCGGCAAGGCATTACATTATTTGCTTACTCGCTTGACTGGCCAATCAAATCAGACCTCTTAGCCTGATCGACACACGAAGATACCCGAGCAATCCCGATGTTGAAAACAGTAAGCCGGAAGACTGAGGAGAAAGTTGGAGCAGCAGCTGAACATGTCGGCTTCAAAACCACGTAAGGTAGAGAATGAGAACAGGGTGTTTCATGACGAGTGGACCGAGTTATTTGCATTTACTTTGCCCGCGAGAAGCACACAGCCTGTGTGTCTTCTATGCCACCAGCACGTAGCCATTGTGAAAAGTTCTAACATTAAACGACACTACGACAAACATCGGACTAGTTTCGAGAGAGATTACCCTCTGAAATCTGCTCTCAGGAGCCAGCATTTACTCGAGTTAAGAGCCCGGTATGATCGATCCCAAAGGATCATGACCAATGCATTTACCGGTCAGCAGCGAGCACTTGAATGTTCCCTCCGTGTTGCCTTGGTTTTGGGCCAAAACAAGAAACCATTCGCTGACTGTGCGGTTGTCAAGAAGTGTGCCCTGGAAATAGTAAAAACATTGACTGACGGCAAACAACAAGAAGAACTGTGTAAAAAAAGTGGCAGAAATCCCCACATCAGCAACAACAGCCACGAGGAGATGTGAGGTTTTAACTGAGGATGTGCTCCAACAGCTGGATGAAGCGGTCATGGGCGTACCTGTAGGTTTAGCTGTGGATGAGTCGACAGACGTGACTGATAATGCACAACTATTAGTTTATGTTAGGTTTTTCAACAAAGAGAAGAAAGTGTTCTGTGAGGACCTGTTAGGTGTGGCCCCCCTCAAGACCAGCACAAAAGGTGAAGATATATACAAGGCAGTCAAAGAGATGCTGACGGAGAGGGGAACAGACATGAAACTAGTGGTGTCCATAACCACAGACGGAGCCCCATCCATGGTAGGACGAGAGAGAGGAGCTGTGGCAAGGATGAAGGAGGACCACGGTGAACTCATCTCATATCACTGCATCATCCAACAGACTGTGCTGTGTGCCCTCCTGAGTGATGAGTACAAGGAGGTAGGCCTACATTTCCACTTTTTCAGTATCTGTATGTTCCTTCTTGTGTCTGTCTGTGTGTATATGTGTGGGGGGTAATATTTGAGTGTGTGTGTGTGTGTGTGTGTCTGTATCCTGTGTGTGTGTGTATGTGTGTGTGTTAATTGTATTGCTAATGTAATTTTATAATAAAAAAGACACCAGTAGCCAGTATTACATTGTAAGCTACATTGTTACTGGTCACAAATAAATATGTGTCCAAATAAATATGACTCTCCATCTCTTCTTTTTCATCTTGAGGTGATGGACGTGATGATGAGAATGATAAACTTTCTGCGGGAATCCTCATCCCTCCAGCATCGTGTCCTCAGAGAATACCTCCATGAAGTGGATGCAGAAGCTGATGACCTTCTCCTCCACAACAATGTAAGACGGCTCAGCAAAGGTAGAGTGCTGGAGCGCTTTTGGGCCATCCGGGAGGAGATTGGAGCTTTCTTATCCCAGCTAAGGAGCAACAAGGCAACTCGTTTTTCTTGCTTCTTAGAAGATGATGAGAAAATGGATATTGTAGCTTTTTTAGTTGACATTACATCTCACCTGAATAAACTGAATCTGAAGCTACAGGGCAAGGACAATTCCATCTGTGACCTAATGATGGCTGTATGTGCCTTCCAGAGGAAACTGGAGGTGTTCAGAGAAGACCTGCAAGGAGAGTGTGCTCACTTCCCTTCAGTACAGCAGCAGGTGCAGGGGCAGAGAGATTTGTCTGCTTTTGTGGACTTTGTTGACCGACTGACTGAAAACTTCAGCCAACGATTTGACAGCTTCACTCTTGGACAGCAGCTCACCCTGTTTATCCAGGATCCCTTCCTTATCACGGATGTTAGGGGGTTCTCAAAGGAGGTCACACAGCTCTTCAAGTGGGCCGAAGCTGGTCCTCTACAGATGGAACTGGTTGATCTTCAGGCAGACGTGGCACTGAAGGAGCAATTTGGAGGAAGTGAATCTGCCACCTTCTGGATGGAGATGGTCCCTGGAAAAGGCTTCACAGGTCTGAGTAAAATAGCTCTGTACACTCTTTTTCGACCATGAACATCGTCAAAGACAAATACCGCAACAGGCTCACTAATGATCATCTCCACATGTGTTTGAGGATGGCCCTGACATCTTTCGAGCCCAGATTCAAAAAGTTGGCTGGAAAAGATGGAGCCCGCTTCTCACGAGCTCCTCTTTCTGAGTGATAAAAAAAGAGTAATTAGGAGGGAGATAAAAAGAAAACAATGACAGACAGGATGGTTTGTGAAGATTTTCAGTGGCAAAATGTATTGAGTTAAAAGTTTAACCAGTTTAGTTACTTTGTTTCAGTCAATTTTATGCTACTTTTTTTAAATGCACTTTAATTTCAGATGTGCCTGCCTAAAAAGCCATTTTGTTTCTAATGCAGGTCTTTGAATATCTGTAGTCTTCATTTTATTTAAAAACAAAATGTAAAATGTAACTTTTATGCTTTCAATAAATATTGTTGACTTGAAAAAAGTACTTCACTTTATTTTAATTGAAAATAGGCAGTTATTGACAATACAAATGAAGTGAATATTTCAAAAGAGTAATGCACTGTACAAAAAAAAAAAAAAATTCCCGGACCCAGGCCTGCAGGCATTTCATCCTGGTGGACCCATTGAAAATTTATATGAAGACCCCTGCTCTAGACCTTCAAAATTCACTTAGAACTGGGCAAGGTTGGACTCGAACCTATGACCTCAGGAGTCACAGTCAGTGTTCTTATCCTCTGAGCCACTGGGGGGGAAACGGGCTTATACCATTTGTTTCCTCTTTCACTTTCCTGTCTAGACACTAGACTTCAAAATTCACCTTGTCCCGAAAAAGGCCCGAACACACCACCTCATAGTAGGGTCTGTTCACTTGAAAAAATGGGCAAATTGTTATGCGGTGGATAAAAGCAACAAATTTGGTACACACATTCTTCAGGGTGTATCTCATCATCTCAGAAGGGGTGCCCAAAAATGCATGAGTGAAAATGGCTCAAATGGAGGTCGTATACCTGACCCAGTACAAAAGTCTCTCGTTGATTTATTTAGCAGGAAAAAGGGAGACGATCTCTGCTGCTCTGAAACCACATCTGAGTCCAGTGGGGAGATTTGGCCTCATGTTAAATTTGATGTATCTGGTCACACACAAGGTCATATGACGGAAATTCATGCTCAGTCTTTGTCCCGATGGAAAGATATCAGTAAATCTCCACATATGCGCCGGATATGAGACTCTTACAAGAACTGAAAAAAAAAACAAAAAGTCCAGATTCTCCAGGTTTGGATGCAGGTGCTGATTTCAGGAGATCAGAGGTTCCTGATTGATTTTAACAAAGAATCTAAACCGGTTTTAAAAAAATGTTTAAAGTTTTTCTTTGACGTGTTGAGGGTCAAACCGGATCTGTAACCAAATGAAGTCGTTCATTTATCGTTGCCTTCTTGTCGTCTGTTCAGTCATCCATCCACTATGCTCCTTCTCTCTCTCTCTCTCTCTCTGATGAGGCAGATGGCCGTTCACTGTTTGGCAAACCCTTTCCTTTCTCTTTAACAAACACACACACACACGCTGCGATTTCATGTGTGGACAACAGTCTGTGTTTAGCGTAAGAGGTCACAGCGACACATGCTGCAACATTTGTGTTTGTGTTACGTCAGTCTGTCGAGCTGGGCGTCCTGCGGGTCTCATTAATGAATCTTCAGTATCTTGTGTGGATAAAAGTCTTTGGGACTGAAACTGTAAACATCTGAATGAACGCCGTGTTATTGTGCTCTGTAACAGTCCGAGTCGCTGCGTAAACTTCATCCTGAACCAGCCCATGTGGGTCCCAGCCACGTGCAAATCTATGAGTTCGGATTACACTTCATCAATGTACATAGATCTGCACGTGGTTATTTGTTTTTACCCAGAGAGTGCTGCAGTAAAGTGAAAAAGCTACAATTTTACTGATAAACCCTTCATCTCACCTTCTCCAAAAGAGCGCCCCCTGCACAGCTGCACAGGATGATACGTTAGCACACACTTCACATTGGCTGTTTTCAAATGGGCCTACTTCATACTCCCGCAGTATACAGTAGATACTTCATACTGAGTACTGTGTTCGATAGTAGTATCCAGTATGACTGCAAGTCGGCCGTTATTCCATAAGTCCGTGGAAAAGTCCATCGTACCCTGGTAAACTGCAGCGACTCTACAGAGTTGCCCATTCATTAACACACTGAAAAAAATCTTTTCTGTGTTTTAATTTGATTTTTTCTGGATTTTTTTAGCGCAATACCATCAAAACGTCTTCTGTCTCTGCAATGACTCGATGATCTGGCGGCATTTGATTCATTTGAAGTATTTGAAGTTATGTTGTCAGTCATGTTTTCCTCGTTTCCTGCATAGATTACAGAAGTTCCAATCCTCTCTAAACGTGTTAACTGATGGTGTCTGCGTGGCGTGGTCTGATTTCCCTTTGATAGTTTGACAACTCCAGTAAAAACCCTCTAATCCAAACTCCTGTCTCCTGTCAGTCCGACTATTTTAACGTTTACTCACTTTTCTGCGTCAAAGCTTTAGACCCCCTCTAATACCAGCTGTGTGATGGAAACATCGCTGACGGACCGCGCTGTGTGTGGTAAACATCAGGTGTACCGTACAGAATAAAGGATGAGGAGGAGCAGGAAGATTTGAGGATTAGAGGATAAAAACTGTTCGGTATGATAAC